GGCTTCCGGGTGGGGCAGGGCCTCATCGAGCGGTGAGTGCGGCCCCGCCGCCTCCCGGGCCCGGCCGAGGCGCGGCCCGGAGCGCGCGGGCGGCCGCAGGAGGCGCCTTCTCCCGCGTTTGTTCCGCCAGGAGGCGGGCGGGGCGCCTGGCTGCTCCCGATCCTCAGCGAGCCCTTCTGAATCCTTAACGAGTCCTTCGTGTGCAGGCCCAGTGCCTCTATTTCATGTTTCCTGCTCTCGGTGTGGTTTCCTGCGAGATTTTTCGCTTCTCTAGTAGTTGCCTCTCTGATTTATGCCTTAAATACATGACTGGCTACTCCTGGATTTCCTCTTTTCCTAGGGCACTCTGAGTTCTTGCTGTTTTGTAGCTGAGCCCGTTACTTTCTTGTCTCTGTGAGCACTTTGGGGATGTGCCGTGGCTTGCTGAGCATCTAATGTCGGTGCCCTCTTTTCGGCTCGAGCTTCAAGTCCTGATTTTGGGGAATAAGGCAATGCTCTAGTGCTTTATAAACACTGAGGAGGAGAGTAGAGAGAGGGCGTTCTGAAAAAAAAGTATGGAAAGAGGTTCCTTCCTAGGAAACTGGAAAAAGTATCATGTGTTTGGTAGTGTGCGTTAGAGCTTTCACTCATAAATCAAGGAGCCCTCTGAGCTACAGGAAGTGCATTTGCTTTAGGTTATTATTTAAATCAACAATAAATTGAGAAAAAATGAGTCCTTTGTATCCTTCTATATTTCAGCCATTCTTTAATGATCATAAAATTCAAAACCACTTACTCTGCTATGCTGTTGCAGATACTAAGGTAACACCATGTTGCTCTTAAACTACAGTGCATGTTGAAAGCTGAGTGATGCTAAAATGACATTACGCAGTAGTCCAAACACTTAATTTCTGTGACAGCCTCAAAAGTAGTGTTGCACAATGTCATTTTTGGAATTTTCTTTTTCTACTTAATTAGTTAAATTGTTGTGTGCCTTCATTATTAATGTATTTCCCATTTATCTCTTAGGTTTACAAAAGATACTTCCAGATTTAAGGATGAATTAGATATTATGAAGTTTATTTGCAAAGACTTTTGGACAACTGTATTCAAAAAACAAATAGATAATCTCAGGACCAATCATCAGGTACTAATGCTGTAGGATAAGATTTAATTTATAAAAGTAGCAATGCTGTGTTTGTCTTGTTCTCAAATCAATAAAAACCACATAATGTTCTTTATATGTTTTCTTTAAGCGCAGTGATTTTTAAGGTTCATTTTATCGTATAGTTTCAGAATACAGTTCATTAATGCTCATTTATTGAATCTATTGAAAAGATTAAATGTTTTCAATTTTATAAGCGCTAGTTATTGTAGAGCTAAACAAACCAAGGTGAACAGGACAGTAATAATTACAGTTTATCAGTTTATATAAGCTGATGACTTTTATATAAAATTATCAACTTGTATAACGACTTTCTTTTTTGTGCATCTCTGACTATGTTTTTGTGAAATACTAATTGAGAGAGTGAGATGCCAAGTATTTAACTAGAATGGCTTCCTTAAGGTCACTTTTGCATTTGAAGACTACTTACATCAGCAATTGAAAAGCTTAATTGCATTCTGTTCAATTTATTTTTCTGTGAGACAGGTGAAAAACTTCCCTTCAGATTTGCATCTTGGTGATACTTTACTGTATCTATGTCCTTTACCATATTAACTACCACAGGTCTTAAGACAAGATCAAAATAAATTTCTGAGTTCTATTACTAGAATCAGAAATTCTTCTCCTTTTCAGTAACTTGATTTTCTTACAGCTGTCGTCTCCTTGTACCAAAATAAGGACAAAATAATTTTTACATAGATATGTCCAAATAACTAATTTCATTTTTTTTCCAGTGTGTTATTTTCCAAGCATAACTTTAAGAAATAATAATATAGTTAGGGATCTTTTTTGAGTAGAAAGAAAACTAATATTCAGTCTAAATCTCAATGCTATATGCATCCTTAATTTCATTTCTAAGGTTATAAAGGTTTAAAGGTTTAAAACTGCACAATCATTGTTAAAAAAAAATCAGGTTTACAGTAAGCTATGCTGCCTTCATACTTCATTTATTTAAAATACAAATTATAATGTGCCACAATATATTAACGTTGAAAGCACTGGACTTTTAAAAATGTGATTATCTTCTGAGTGTTTTCACTAAAGAATCTACAAGCCTCGCTGAATTTCAGAATTGTAAGAGTCAATTTCATACCTAAATGAAGATTCGAATCTAAATATAAAGGTCAGCATATACTTTATATATTAACAAAGACAGTCTGTCTAATATGGAGCTTTTGTCCCTGAGCTCTGAGAATACTCTTCCAAGAAAAATGTGAATAAAAATTTTTAGAATTGACTGATATAAGTTGTATTTTTATTTACAGGTCCTGGTGTTTAAATATACTTTCTTTGACATATCATAAAGTAAGAAATACAATTTAAATTTAGATCACATTAACATTTTTTTTTCAACTTAAAAATAATTATATTGTATCTACAGATAAATTAATAGAATGTTGATTAAGTATTACTGGCTATGCTACCAAAGATTTTTTTCGTTTGTTTTTGTGTGTATTTTTTAATAGGGTATTTATGTACTTCAAGACAATAAATTTCGTCTCTTGACACAAATGTCCGCAGGAAAGCAGTATTTAGAACATGCACCAAAGGTACCCTTCATATTTTTTTCTAGATAACCACCAGTTTGATTTGCATTGTTGTTGCCTATTGCTATTAATGTTAAATTTTGGAATTAATCTCCAAAAAGGCAACAAATTTCATCTCCAACAACAGTGGTTTTAAAAATATAGCTTGTTTCAAGACAGTGCATTTAAGGTATGATTTTAGTTTGAGTTACTCAGTGGTAAAAGATGGTCAGACTTCAAGGTGAATATATCTGAGCTGATATTCAGACTTTGTGTGCAGTTAAGGAAGAAAATCTTGCTGCTATCACAGATTCATTTTCCTGCTTTCAAGTTGCTTTCCACTTGCTTTCTCAAATTTTCCAAGAGAAATTTGGAAGGCACATAATTATGCAGAACAAACCTTAGGGATGTTTGGATTATTTAAAGAGATCTTCTACCAATTAAAATGGTTTTATTTATGAATTCTGAATTATTAGTATGATAGTTGAGTAAAATAATATCAATGCCTCTGCAGAACGTCTGAGCAAGGGCTTTGCCTTGAAATAGGTATAAAAAATGGGGCACTCGGTTTTATTCTTATTATTTTTTTGAATTCTTGCTCTTTTAGATTTAGTCATCATGGCTGCAGGCCTTTATCTTTGGAGATTTTTTTCATATGACATTTTTATATTTTGATATGATATTTTTCTATTTGGCACCATGTATTTGTAAATTTTTCTGCAGATCTCTAGTCTTTGTATTCTAAGGAGATTAGACTTATGCAGTAATGCAATCTTGGACTGTTTCCTTCAGTGACTTTAATACCCATTGCAAATTTCAGTCAAATTATAGGGGTAACAGTCTCAAGAATGAAAAACTCCTAGCAGTCTAATGAAAGTAGAAGGAAGAGACTCAAAATGGTGCCTCTACGAAGGGAAATCTATCTACAGCTTCTATCTACAAGAGGTGCTTTTAATCCTCTAAGTGTTGGGAAA